CGCCATTTCGGCTTGTCATCCGTAGATTTTTTAGGCACCAGGATGAGCGGTGAATTGTAGTTTGATCTGCTCATTTCAATCAAATCGTCAGCTAAAAGTTTTTTAACTTGTCGATTTATCTCTTCCTTTTGAACATGTGGTAGACGATAATTTTTCACGTATACTGGTGATTCGTCTTTTACAGAAAGTTTTTGCTCGTAAAAGTTGTTAGTTGTGGGTTTGTCACCCTCAACATGAAACACATCGCTGTACTCCATGCAAAGCTGAAGTAATTCGGTTGTTGCGTGTTTTGGAATTCGTTTCTTCAACATGGCTTTCAACTTGTCTACTCTCTCACCACAATTTTTGTTTATGATGTGTGGTTTTGTTTTATATATGTCGTAATCGTCGATACTTGTTACGTTTAGATTTTCTGTTCCAATCAGCTTCAACGTTTCATTGATGTTAAGTACACGAACCACTGTGTACGGTTCATAAGCAATTGTCGTAGCCGTGAAGACATCATCATGTATTTCTTGTGGTTCAATAATACATGGAAATTGTGTACTTTTTATATGGAAAGTGCGATAAGTTTCGCACCTCGGTGGAATCGCTGCTATTCCACCAAGTACTTCAGTTCTAATTGGTATCGTTACCTCACCGCATATTCGGTGGTCGTATTGTGATCGTCATAGTTTCATAATCAATCGAACACTTGTTTTGCTTAATGAAGTCTTTTCCCAGGATTCCATGAGATGGTATCGGGAATTCATCAGGGACGACATGAAACTTGTTTGTTATTTGTAATTCGCTAATTTCTATATTCATATTTAGCGAACCGATTGACTCTGTCATATTTTCAGTAATACCCTTCAGTGATACCAAGTCGGATTTATTTAAAAGTTCGTTGGAATTTTGTATAGCATTGATTTTTATTATTGAAACATCTGCCTGTGTGTCGAACAAAAATATGATATTATTTTTTGATAATGAACATTTCACAGTTATGTAGTCAGATAGATTGGAATTTATTTGGAAAATGTGTTTTTCTTGAACGAAGTTTCTCGAATCGACTTTTGATTTCAATTCAATAGTTCGAATCTGACATTGCTGTCGTTCGATGGAGCTGGGAGGGGCCCGATGAGTTTTCCGAGCCCACGATACGTAAAACCTGTTCTTGGCGGTTTCCATTTTGGTTACCATTATTGTTACGATATGAACGATGGCCACGATAGCCACGTCCACTGTTGTTGCTACCGCGATTTTGGCCATAGTTTCGGTTTTGGTTGGAATTATTTTGATTTCGCTGAAAATTATTGCGATAATTACCGCGACCCCCGCGACCAGGTCTACGATTTTGGTAACCACTCCCACCGTTGTTATTTTTATTTGCCCAACTATCCTGACGCACTGTGTCCTGTTGGACAACAAACTTCGAAACTACTTCGCTTGGCGTTTCGAATGACGTTGCTGCCAAGACTGCTTTGACTGTGTCAGAACGAGTTGACTTATAACACAATTCGACTGTTTTGCGGACAGTCATTTCTTGTGCCTTGGCTTTTGTATGACCCTCGAAAATGAGGCTGCGTCTAAATTCTTCTGCTAGTTTTTCCGCCTGTTCTGCGAATCTACCTGTTCCTCGTTTATCGACACGTAATGCGGTTATTTTTCCTTCAATAACGCGCGATGATTCGAATTTAATTTCTCTTTTCAATGCATCGATAATTTCTTTAACACTTTGTGGGTTTTCAGGTAAAGCCTCTCTTGCCTTACCGACCAAATGTGTGCTCACGAATTTGATAAAATTTGGAATATTGTTGTCTTTTACCATGGGTTTCAAGAGTTCAACTTGATCAATGAAAGCTGCAAGGTTTGATGGATCACCATCGAATTTAGTGTCAACTACCTTGGTTGCTAATCTGAAAAAATCTTCGGCTGATTGTGTCATTTTCGTGTTTACGTTTGTGTTTGTTTCTTCTTCGATTTCTTTTTCAAATTTATCGAACTCTTCCTCAGAAATTGTTTTATTTGTACTCAGAACCCTGTCAATTGTTTTACGTTCATATGCAGTTATCGCCGGTTCTTCGATGAATTCAGTTTATTTTTCTATTTTTGCTTGCGAATTCAGAATTGTTAAACATTCCCCGAGTTCCGAATAACAATGCAATTGTTTTCTGGTCGTGAAATCTATATCGGCTTCTGCTCCTTGTTCATATAGCGAGATTGCTCTTAACAAGTCATTCCATGTTCTGATAATTAAGTATTCTCTTATTTTAATTTTAATGGGTCGCTTCGATGCATTCTTCCGTTTAATTTGTTTTCTTATTGCATCAAATTTATTTACGATCGCGATTATTTCATCATACTTATCCCTCATCTTTGTCCCATTCTGCTAGTAACAATAACTCAAGGCACTAGACAGTATGAATGATTCCGAAAATAATTAATAAAATACGAGAAGCTTGCCATATGAATTCAAAAAAAAAAAAAAATAGAAAAGGACAATTTTGCTACATTTAATAAGGTTTTTGAAAAACAAAATCATTAAAAGTTCACAATCTTATTTATTTATCCATTTTGATTCTATGTTCTTGATTTCGTTTCTTAATGTAGGAATAAAATTTTGTTGCTTAATGTACTTGAGAAAA